CGGGAGCAGGCCTAAGCCAGCAGGTGGACATCCCCCAATGTCCCAGACTGTGAGAGGGTGCAGACTGGGCTGAGGGACACCCCCATGTGCATGAATTTTCATGCACCGGGCCTCTAGTTGTTTCATAAACAACCAGAGCATATACTTATACAAGGGCTGCTTTATAGCTAAAAAACTTAGTAAGATTCTTTTCTTCTTTCTTTGGATTGAAAAAAAATACACCAGTGCAAAAATGAATACATAAACTTCATATTTTTCTTTCTCAGAATTTTTTTTCACACACTATCTCCTTTCAGTATTATGATATTACACTTTTCTGATGTAAGCGACAATTTGAAGAACAGAAAGTTAACTGGAACATGTTTGGGATTAGAAAACTGAGTTTTAAGTTCCAGGTATGTCATTTAATTTTCTGTGATCTTGGACAAGCATTAAAACTGTAAAATGGGGCCCTAGCCAGTTTGGCTCAGTGGACAGAGCATTGGCCTGTGGACTAAAGGGTCCCGGGTTCGATTCTGGTCAAGGGCACATGCCTGGGTTTTGGGCTCGATCCCCAGTGGGGGTAACCGATCAATGATTCTCTCTCATCATTGATGTTTCTATCCCTCTCTCTTTCTCCCTTCCTATCTGAAATCAATAAAAATATATTAAAAGAAAAGAAACTGTAAAATGGAAATAATAACGGTCTCATGATAACTGGAAAGTATGAAATGTACAAAGATCTTTTTAAGTTACAGAATGCATTTTTTAAAAAATACATATTTTATTGATTTTTTTACAGAGAAGAAGGGAGAGGGACAGAGAGTTAGAAACATCGATGAGAGAGAAACATCGATCAGCTGCCTCCTGCACACCCCCCACTGGGTACATGCCCTTGACTGGACTCGAACCTGGGACCCTTCAGTCCACAGGCCAATGCTCTATCCACTGAGCCAAACCAGTTAGGGCACAGAATGCATTTTTAAGGAGATAAACAAAACATAAACTTATTTGACATCACATTATCAATAGCAGAGTCAAAATTAAACAAATCAGGACTGATGTTCTAGATCAATGGTTCTCAACCTTCCTGATGCCGCGACCCTTTAATACAGTTCCTCATGTTGTGGTGACCCCCAACCATAAAATTATTTTCGTTGCGACTTCATAACTGTAATTTTGCTACTGTTATGAATAGTAATGTAAATATCTGATATGCAGTAGGTATTTTCACTGTTACAAACTGAACATAATTAAAGCATAGTGATTAATCACAAAAACAATATGTAATTATATATGTGTTTTCCAATGATCTTAGGCGACCCCTGTGAAAGGGTCGTTCGACCCCCAGAGGGGTCGTGACCCACAGGTTGAGAACCACTGTTCTAGATAGTGTGCCCTAATAGACTTGGAAGGTACCACTGAGAACATTAGCACTAAAACTTGCTAAAACTAAACCATGAACACATGTAATTATCAATAAAAATCCTGTGTCAATTGTACCTCCTCTATAGCATCCTTTATTTTGAAGGAATATTTTATCAGTCGCTAAAGTATAAAGAATGGCAGAAAAATCCTATATAATAAAAGCGTAATATGCAAATCGACCTAATGGCGGAACGACCAGTCAGCAGGGGACGGGGCTGGCGCTCAGGCGGCGCCAGCCCAGCCAAAGCCCATGCCAGTGGGCAGAGGGAGGGGACGGTGATGGAGGAGGCGGCAGCGACCAGCAGTGGCAGAGGGGCTTTAGAGGGGGGGGCCATGCCGGCCCCTGAATGGCTGCCTGGTCACCTCCCACAGAGTGAAGCCAGGCTGCAGTCTGGTCGGGGGCATGCAGAAAGCAGCTGATCACACTGATGTTTCTCCTTCTTTCTCCCTCTCTCTAAAAATCAATAAAAATACCTTTAAAAAATATTTTTAAAAATCTTTAAAAAGAACATAACAGCCCTGGCTGGTGTTCTCAATGGTTAGAGCTTTGCTCACACACCAAAGGGTGTAAGGTTCAATTCCCAGTCAAGGGCACGTACCTGGATTGCAGGTTCAATCCTCGGCCTGGATTGGAATGAGTGTGGGAGGCAGCTAATCAGTGTTTCTCTCTCACATCAATCTATGTCTCTCTCCCTCCCTTCTTCCCCTCCATTCTCTTTAAAATCAATGGAAAAAATGTCCTCAAGTGAGGACTCAGCAACAACAACAAAGAACAGTGTGTGGCACTTAGTGAGCTCCCATGGTTAATGTAGTACTGTATTATTTATACCCCTCACATTCACCTTCAGGTTTTGTGGGGCTTTTATGGTATTACTAGAAACCTGGGGCATGAAAATTCGTGCACTGGGGGGTGTGTCCCTAAGCCCGGCCTGCGCCCTCTCCCAGTCCAGGAGCCCTCAGGGGATGTCTTACTGACGGCTTAGTGCCAGATGACAGGAAAGGGATTGGAGTCAAGGAAAGCAAGGCCTCACTCATAAGGTGACTCATGAGGTAACCCAAAGGAAGTGAAGTTAGCCATCTGAGAAGAGTGGGAGAATGACCCAGGGCTCAGAGGCAGAGCTGGGGAAGCAGTGAGTGAGGGAGAAGGTGCTAAGAGATTAAGAGAGAAATGATGGGGATGGAGAAGGAGAGGTTAAGACCTCAGGACCAGATTTTATTCTTAAATGAGATGCGTTTGGAGAGTTTGGGTCAAATGAGTCACATATAACTGTGTTTTTTTTCAAAACTTTTTAGTTATGGAATCTTCTGTTCAAGGGATCCACAGAAGATTAATACGTAACACAGATAAGGAAAAGGTACTTAGAAACCTGACTATGCTGTTCCCACTTTCCCTCTCGCTCCTCTCAAGTTTAAAAATGAGGAGTCTGTAAGATCCAAATGTTCATATCCTGCATCTAGAACTTCATAATCCAGGCCCATCCTAACTTTCCAAAAAGCTGTTCCTAGGGAATCGAAAAAAAAGAGTAAATCCAGCTGCTGATCCATAGTAGAGGAACAAATGTGCTGCCACAAAAATCAGTCTCTGTAATACCTCTTTATCAACCTAGTACCAAGGCACAAGATCAAAGTCCTTCACTTCCCCCCTCCTACACCTCACCACTACATGGTGATAGCTTGTGTTCCCTTTCAGGGCTTCCTTACATATTCATTTTCACTTCATTTCACTTAAACATGTTCGAGCAATACAATGTGATCTACCTCTGTTGACATTTTCTCTGGATGCAGCCTCCCTGTCAATTTATAATTTAGGGAAATTATTCCTCCCCAAGAGTTATTTCATCTATCAGTACTGACTTCCCCATTTTCACTATTCTAAGCCTATGCATCCTGGAAAGTCTACTTTGTGAAGCCATCCTCCCCACATTTTGACCTTCAACTGGAATTCCAAATCTTCAGAGTATGAAGGGAACTTCCAGGCCATGTAGTGCTCTAGTTCACTGCTCATTCCATGGACTAACCCTTGTGGGGAAGCACAGGAGTTGGTTGGAAAGTCTGTAAGGAGGATTCTCCAAAAGGTGGGGGGCCTCTTAGGGAGACCTTGCCAAAGGCGGCAGCCCCTGCCCTGACTTTTCCAAGTAAGTCTGAGCCTCCGGGTGTTTTGCTGGTATCTCTATGTTTAATCTTTAAGACCCGACCTTGTAGAAACATGTGCTTTCTCAAGGATACTTACCCTAATTGTATCTAGAGCAGTGGTTCTCAACCTTCCTAATGCCGCAACACTTTAATACAGTTCCTCATGTTGTGGTGGCCCTCAACCATAAATTATTTTTGTTGCTACTTCATAACTGTAATTTTGCTACTGTTATGAATCATAATGTAAATATCTGATATGCAGGATGTATTTTCATTGTTACAAATTGAACATAATTAAAGCATAGTGATTAATCACAAAAACAGTATGTAATTATATATGTGTTTTCCGATGGTCTTAGGCGACCCCTGTGAAAGGGTCGTTCAACCCCCAGAGGGGTCGCGACCCACAGGTTGAAAGCCACTGATCTAGAGGTTAATTTTAGTTCAAGCTGTAATTACAATAAAAGCCTAAGGAGGCAGACAATCAGGGCTGTTTTGGTGCCTCCTGCCAATCAGCCCCTTATCCTCTCTTTCACGGAAACGTGTGTCAGAGTAATCTATTCATCCATCACTCAGGGTCTACTGGTCAGTCCCGGCAAACCCTATACAGATGTGGCTGGTAGTCTTCTGGCCTTTGTGACTGCTTTTAGTGACAAGCACACACTGGCCCACAAGGCAGTCCACACCCTTTCAGACATACAGTAATTGTGAGAAAATTCTTCTTACTAACCCAGCACCTGTTTCCTGGTATCTTCCACCACTGGTTCTGCCCTCTGGTTGAATAGAGGGAAGTCTGATTCCCGGTCCTCGTGCACCCTGCCTAGCTCATAGTTGGCCTTGTGTTTCCCCCCATTCTGGCTCTGCCTCTAAAAATTCTAATTCCCCAACCATCTCACAGGTCCTCTGTGGAACCACCTTCAATCTAATGATTAGCTAATAGTCACAGACAGATTTGATGTCTCTGTATATAGCTGGTGAGGTCTCTGTGTCCCATGCCACAGATTATACCTGTTCCTCCTCCTCTTCTTTGAACTAGCTTAGGACTTCTACACTTAGCCTTGCATTCATCACCATGCACTTTGTCATGAACGTTCACTGAGCACTGTCAGGAACCATACTAGGTACTAAAAAAATAAAAGTCAATAAAATGTACTCAGCCTATAGAAGAGTAAAAGCAAGAAAGATAGAATAATAAATAGGTGAGGAAGTTGGAGAGGCTTCAATGGAAGTAGTGCTATCTGAGCCAGAGATGAACTATGCCTCACACCAATGCCTCACACAGCCTTGTGTCCCCAGTACCAAATGGAACAATGCTTTGCGCTCACTTGAAATTCAGAAAATACGTGAATGTGGTAAAATTGAGAAACCTGCTCAGCCCCCTCAGCCTCTTTTGGAGGTGAGGTAGGGTGATCAGTGAATCCACAGTCTGACAAAGGCAGTTACAGAGACTGACAATGTACCTGGCTACGTACAATATTGCTCAGGTGGTTGTCCTCGGACATCTGTGCATTCTGGAAGTAGGACAAGGGTGCAGGCAACTCTGTCATTGGAGCAACTGTACAGAAATACCTTTTCACTGAAAACAAAGCCTCTTGGGGTTCTGAAAAGGGAGACAGAAAGAAATCCTTTGTGCATTACAATTACACTTTTATTTTTAAACACTTTCATAAATTACATTAGGCAAAACCAACCTTTCTTTCATGTGTCTCCTCCAGGCGAAGCTTCCCAAGGACCTCACAGGCTGCTGTCACTTGCAGACTCCTGGATTAGGTCTGAAATAGGGTTTTATCAGGTTACCCAGAGTTGGTAATCCATTCATACCAATCAAGTACTTAAAAGACCAATTTATAAGCCATCCATTTATTAATTTGCCATGAACCGATAAACATTCTTAAAAAATATTTTTTGTTAATCCTCACCTGAGGATATTTTTCCCATTGGTTTTTTAGAAAGAGTAAAAGGTAGGGAGGGAGGGCAGAGGAAGGAAGAGAGAGGAAGAGGGAAACATTGATTCGAGAGAGACACATTAACTAGTTGCCTCTGGCAGACGCTTTGACCAGGGCCAGGATGGAACCTGCAACCCAAGTACATGCCCTTGACTGGGAATCAAACCCGAGTCCCTTTAATGCTCAGGCCAATGCTCTCACTGCTTAGCAACACTAGCCAGGGCTCAATTGACAAACCTTTATCAACTCAAGATACCTCTTTGGTAATGAGTAGATCTATTTGAGAAAAAAGTATTTTTCTTTAAAAAAATTTTTTTTGATATTTTATTGATTTTTTACAGAGAGGAAGGAAGACGAAGAGGGATAGAGAGTTAGAAACATTGATGAGAGAGAAACATCGATTCAGCTGCCTCCTGCACACTCCCTACTGGGGATGTGTGTAACCAAGGTACATGCCCTTGACCAGAATCAAACCCGGGACCCTTCAGTCCGCAGACCAACGCTCTATCCACTAAGCCAAACCGATCAGGGTGAAAAGGTATTTTTCAATCACAAAGATAATCAATGATTTCAGATTTAAAACAAAGGGAACTGAATAATCTTAAAGAATGTTCTCATCGATATTTCTTCTTTCCTTTTTTTTTTTTTTTTGAGAGACAGGAAGGGGGAGAGAGAAACATTAATGTGAGGGAAATATTGATCAACTGCCTCTGCACACCCACTAACCAGGGATCAAGCCAGCAATCCAGGAATGTGTCTTGACCAGGAATAGAACCAGCAACCTTTAGGTAAATGTGACAACATCCAACCAACTGAGCCACACTAGCCAGGGTTGTTTAGTGATTTTAATTTTGCCAAAGGCCGGGTAAAAAGGTAACATTCATATTTTTTTTATTTATCCTCACAAGAGGATCTTTTTCCATTGATTTTGTTTAGAGAGAGTGGAAGGGAGGGGTAGAGACAGACAGAAACATCAATGCGAGAGACACATCGATTGGTTGCCTCCCACAAGCACCTTGACCAGAGCTGGGGATCGAGCCTGCAACTGAGGTACATGCCCTTGACGAGAATGGAACCGGGGCCCTTCAGTCCATGGGTCAACACTCTATCTACTGAGCAAAATTCAGCTAGGGCAACATACACTTTTTATGCCTGGCCAGGGTGGCTCAGTGCTTGAGCATCAACCCATGAACTAAGAGGTCACTGGTTCAATTCCCGTCAGGTCATATACCTGCATTGTGGGGTCGGGGCATACAGGAGAAAGCTGATCGATGTTTCTATCTCTCTATCCCTCTTCCTAAAATTAATAAAATCATGTATTTTTAAAAACACATACAGCCCTAACTGGTTTGGCTCAGTGGATAGAGCATCGGCCTGCGGACTGAAGGGTCACAGGTTCGATTCCAGTCAAGGGCATGTATCTTGGTTGTGGGCACATCCCAAGTCGGGGGTGTGCAGGAGGCAGCTGATCGAGGTTTCTAACTCTCTATCCCTCTCCCTTCCTCTCTGTAAAAAATCAATAAAAGATATTAAAAAAAGAAAACAAACACATACATATTTTTAAAAAGCAGAAGGGGCCCAAGTTCAGTGACTTGGTTAAAAATCACAATTGGTCAGATCAGGATAAAAATTAAAAGATTTCTCACTCCCAGCCTCTCCTTTGTATCCAAGTATAGCCTTCTTTACATGTATCATTCTGTCCCAGAGTTCACCCTTCTGAGGGACACATTCCTATTTGCCTGTCTGCCTTAATCTCCATCAGCCAATTCTTTATTTTAACTTTTCTTTTCATAGAAAATCTTCAGAAATGTAAAAGGAAAAAAAATCTGTTTGCAAACCTAAGCAGAACTCATTAATTCATATATAGTATCTATAACATTACCATGTACATATTTACAAGAAAGCATTTTGTCAACATCTGGTTTCATTTCCACTTTTCAGGATCCTCTACTTCCTAAATTCTCCACTACTTTTATTATAATGAGTTTTCATAAAAAAACACATTAAAGTAACTTTTTCTTCTAGTAAAGGTATCAAGTTCAAATTAACCCTTCGTTACCTATATTTGGCTCACTCAAAACATGACAAATTTTTTGTGGTGTTGTTAATCCTCACCTGAGGATATTTCTTCCACTGAATTTTAGAGAGAGTGGAAGGGAGGGAGGGAAAGTGAAGGAGAGAAATATCGATGTGAGAGACACATCCATTGGGTGCCTCCCGAATGTGCCCTGACCAGGGCTGGAAATCAAACCTGCAATCCAGGTATGTGCTCTTGACCGGGAATCAAACCTGAGATCCTTCAGGGATTGTGTGCTCTAACTATTGCGCACACTGACCAGGGCATGACGAACTTTTAATGAAGATATCCTTTCCCTTCTATCCTATATGCTTCCATGTATCCATGCCTATCTTTCTCCTCCCCTCCAATTTTGGCCCACAGTTAGCTGGCCTGGGATCAGGGGATTGCAAATTAATGTTAACTTAATATGACATAACTAATGTAAATTTCCTTTAAAATAAATAAAAATAGACATAATGGTTACTTTTATGAGGGTTATTCACTGGAAGGGGATAGAAACTTTGGAGGAGACTGTTAGTGTTTTGTTTCTTGATCTGAGTGGTAGTTACACAGGGGTTTCAGTCTGTGAAATGCACTAAGCTGTACACAATTATAATCTGTGAGCACATTTCTATATACTCCAATTAAAAACTTAAATTGACCTTGGCCCGCATGGCTGTGTTTAGAGCATCAGCCTGCGCACTGAAGGGTCATGGGTTCAAATCCCAGTCAAGGGTGCATACCTGGTTGCAGGTGTCGGGGCGCATGCAGGAGGCAACCAGTTGATGTGTCTCTCTCACATCAATGTCTCTCTCTGTTTCTCCCCTTCTCTGTTTATGGCTGATCTTTTTATAGTCAGCATATAAGTGGCTTTTTTTTCAATGTATTTCATTTCAGTAAAAGAAAGGGGACATAATTATTTGCCCCCCGCCCCCTGCCCTCCCTTCCACTCTCTCTGGGGGGAAAAAATCAATGGGAAATTTTTTTTTGTAATTGATTTTTGTGGGAATAAACCTATATCTAGGGTTACTCACACTATTGGTCCTGTCTTTTAAAATAAGTAAAATTAGGAATTAGCAATATGTATGCTAGTTTACTCAAAAGACAGGTGGATTCCAACAGAACAGTTATATTTTCTAAGTACTCAAAGTAAATGTTCTGAACTATGCTTCTAGATTTTTAAAACTTAATTATCAACCAAAGGACTTGTATGCATGCATATAAGCATAACCAATGGACATAAGACACTGGGGGGTAGGGGAGGCCACGGGATTGTCAAGGGCAGGGAAAAAAGGAGACATATGTAATACTCTTTGTAATACTTTAAGCAATAAAACAATTTAAAAAAAATCAATATAAAAAAAGTATGAGCAAAAATTCTGAATAAACATTTATCCACTGAAAATATACAAGTGGCCATAAACATATGAAAAAATGCTCAACATCATTAGCCACCAGGTAAATGCAAACAAAACCACCATAGATACCACTTCACACCCACTAGGATGAAAAAAAAAAGTTAATTATCTAATTAAAATTTTAATATGAATGTAATAATGATCAGCAAACAGAGCATATATTATTCCCTTCTTTTCCACTATACATTTGTACAGCACCCACCAACTCAGCTAACCCACAAATGCCAGAGGATGGCAAAGAGAAAAAGTTGCAATTGATTACCTCCACTGACGGTTCTGAAGACTATATCAAATCTTTGAAAATATAGCTCTATTACAGAAAAATCCTTAGAAATCTGTCATTAATATTCTCATATGATCCTTCAGAAACAAATCAAGTAAATAAGACACTGTTAGCCAATGAAAGTAAAGGGCAAGAAAGAGCAATGCACAAAAGTAAATAAAGTGTATTACATTTACACGTAAAAATGAGAAGAAAAGTCCAGCTGGTGTTGCTGAGTGGTTGAGCACTGACCTATGAACCAAGAGGTGATTCAATTCCCAGTCAGGGCACATGCCCAGGTCGTGGGCTCGATCCCCAGTGTGGGGTGTGCAGAAAGCAGCCGATCAATGATTGTCTTATCATTGATGTTTCTCTCTCTTCCTCTCCCTAAAATAAAGAATTGGCTGATGGAGATATTTCTTCCACTGAATTTTAGAGAGAGTGGAAGGGAGGGAGGGAAAGTGAGGGAGAGAAATATCTCGAAGGGAGGAGAGAGAAACATCAATGTGAGAGAGATACATCAGTTGTTGATTTTTAAACATGCCCTGATTGGGTCC